AGGAAAAATATAAAATATAATATAGAGCTAAAAATAAATATATACTAATATAGGAAAAAAAGTAAATTCTATTACAATATGAAAAAATTCTAGTATTAAATTAAGAAAATCAACTTTATCAATATTACAATTAAAACATTTAGTTAGATATATTGCATGTGAAAAAGTAAATATTAATAAATTAAAAGATCCTAAAAAAAATTATAATAATTTTGATGAAGTTTTAAAAGAAATAAAAGAAAAATTAATAAATAAAGAAAATACTATTATCATATTTAATAAAGTACATTTTTCTAATACAAGTTATTAAGTAGTACAACTATTAATAATTAGAATGAGATATAATACTTTATTAATGAGTGCTACATTTTCTAAAAAAAACTTTTCTATATCAATATCAAAATCAAAAGAAATATATTCTATAACTAAATTTTCTAATCAAACAAATTGGGAAAATAAAAAAACACAAGTATTTTTTAGAACAACTGCAAATAAATATTCTAGAAAAATAAATAATGAAGAAGATACTAATGCTGAACCAATATTAAAATCTGAATTAACATCAAAAAAATTTAAATTATTAGAAGAAAGTGACATACCTTTTGTAATATTTAATAACACAAATTCATCTGCTGTATTTGGTATAACTGAAGGGATGCCACCTAGTTCTTTGTTTATAGCAAATATTAATTATAAAATGAGATTTAGTTCTAATGTTGATAATGTAATATTAACTGGAAAAACACAATTAGAAAAATTAGGAAAAGGACCTAGAGTAGAAAGATGGATTTATGATGAAAAAGATGTTTAATATTTATCTGTTGCAAGTATAATACAACAAATAGATTGTGTTGGATGTCTTAAAAAAGAAAAAGCTTTTTTAACTATACAACAATTAAAGAAATTAGTACTAAGTGATGATATTATATTTCATTTAATTAGTAGAATAATGCTTCTTGCAAGTAAAAAACTAATAGAAAAATTAAACACATTGGGTTATCTATTTACTAAAAATATTAATGATTATAAATATTAAAATTTTTTTGGATATCTGTTTCTTTTCAATATAAAAAAAATTATTTATCAGAAGCTATTATAATTGGTGTTAAAGGAAATTAAACTAAGTTCTGCTAATCAAATATGTTCAACATATGATAATTTACCAGATCCAGATATAAAAGATTCAAATTTATGAGCTTTATATACAGAAGGTAAATTACCACCTCTAAAAATTGATATAGATAATATTAAAAATATATAATTATTAATTATTAAAACAAAATTAAGAGCTATTAATATGAATCTCAAATCAAAAATTTATATTAAATCTAAAAATTTATTAATAGAAAAAGTATAGGAACTTTTATCAAAAAAATCTGATACAATTCCTATTGATAAAAAAAATAATATTATTAAAAAAATAAAAAGAATCATAAAAAGTGTTTTAATGGAAAAAATAGATATTAAAAAAATTAAATATAAAGTTAAAGAAAAAAAATTTTTATAAATTCAGTTAGATGGTTTAATTTTTATGATACAATGAATATTGATATTCTTAGAACAATTCTAGATAGTAAAACTCAAAAAGATTATTCTATAATAATTACAAATACTAATATAGATATAGCAATAAAAAAATATATTCAAAACAAAAAAAATAATTATATTAAAAAATATTTAGATAAAGATGAATTCTTAACAATGTTTAGATGTAAAAATTGTGATAAAATGATAAACCAACTTTTTATTGTAATACTTAAAAATTTTTATAAATCTAATTTTTGTAAAATATGTATTAATAATCTTGAAGAAATGAATATTATTACATATATATCTGGTATTAGTTATCATAAAAATATTGATTAATTAAATAAAATAAAAATTATTATTTTTTATTTATTAATATTATCTTTAATATATAATGTAAACTTAATATAATATATATATACAGGAGGTAGTTCTTTTGATAATTCATATATTGATTGCTTTACAAATATTTTTTATAATAATTATCAAAATAATAAATATTATAAATTATTAAATGATAAAAAAAACAATATTAAAAAATTAAATAATGCAATAAAATTATTTTTAGATAATTTTAATAAATTTTCAGATGAAAAAGCCAATCAAAAAAATTAACTATAAATAAAATAAAAAATATAAAAGTTATTAATAAATTAGAAAATACTAAATTTTTAAATATAAAAAATTATAATATTTCAAATAATATAAAATTTTTTATTTTTTTGCTTACACTAAGGCTATAGTTATCAGTAATTATTGCCTTTATTGTATTTTAATTATGATTATATAACTTGTACAAGGTAAGTATACAACTAGCCATATGTATAACTTTTAGTTGTTTATTTTAAGTAGTCCACTCACACAGCAGATTCTATACTAGCTTCCATATCTGCAATCTACTAGGAGATTACTAATTTAAATACTCTGATCTCTATTCTTATACTGACAAATAGTGCACAAGTTTTCATACACCTAAGTGCCATCTAACTTAACCATGACTTCTCTGTCTATATATTTATTAAGCTGTTACATATTTCTGAATATGTCATCTGACTATAGGGCTTCAGGAGGCACCTCTGCTAACTAACTAACCATATTTAGTATCTTGTTAACTAGGCTCACCCTTGTAGAGTTCATCCAGACCTCAGCACCAACTTCACAGCATATTCCTAGTACTTATAGTATACTTTTGTTTTCGACCTTAGACTCCCAATTCAGATAGCTCAGTAGGACTATAACCTGTCTCTAATACTCCAGGGTCTGCTTCCAAGGTCTTTTTTCTTTGGTTCGAAACTTTCAGTAGCCTAATTGGTGGTAGCCTTCATCTGAGGTTCTTGTATGCCTGATTCTTTCTACATTGGTATCTGTTTCCTAGGTCTAGCCTTTACAGTAGTACTGTTGAAGATCTGTGCTACCTCTCTACTAGGGTTTTCCCAAGTGGACTCTGGTTTCTCAGTTCACAGATTTATACAACTATGAGGACTTATCTTGGGTTTGCACTACCCGATGCTGGTTTGCATTCCTCTGTATAACTTTAACAATGTGCAGATGCCTTATGACCTGCCAGTTATTTGATGTAACCATGTTACAGATACTGATCCCAACTGATCGACAAAATGCCATTGCTATAGTACTGCTTACCTTCTGTAATACTAATATAACATAGGTGGTTTTTCAAATTTTCACTATCAGTAGATTTTGAACTCCCAACCTACTACTTGGGAGGTTAACAACTTAACCACTTCACTAAGTTGCCACACCCCTTCAAATAATATAAAATTAAAAAATATATTTAATAATTTAAATAAAAAATTAAATAAAATAATAACTATTTATTTTTTTTTTTTTTTTTAGTATTAAGGTAACCTCTTTGGTCTTTTGATTTTTATTAATCACTTATTGGTATTGTGGTTTAATGAACCACTACAGGAGAGCATGCAATTGGCTACACATGTAACTTTTCTATATTACCTATTTAAGGAGTCCATTTGAAGGTTCCTTACCAATTTCTATATCTAACACCCCTGCTTGGATGTTCCACTTTAAACTCTCTGAACCTGCAACCTGTATTAACATCACTGGGTTATACTCAGATGCCCAGATCATTATCTCAACTTTAGAACTAATTTATCCTTGAGGTAAACCCCCAAAGCCTTCTGTACCCATTTTTACAGCTGACCTAGGTATTGTGATGACAGAACCAATACTTGCAGTCAGGGCTAACCATTAAACCACTATGACCTTATAAAGTTCACTTAGATTTCAGCATCTACTTTACAGCATAGCCCCAGTACTTTAGTATACCTTTGCCTTTTCTCCTGCCTTTTTACCAAACTCCCAATCCAGATAGCTCATGTAGAATTATGACCTGTTCATCGGTATATCAGGTTGGTCTAATATTCTTTTTCTCCAGTTCATTCTGGCAGCCTGGTTGGTAGTACTTTTAAAACTCCCAACTTGGAGGTTCTTGCCTATCTGGCTACTAGGACTGAGTACTAGAGCTAGGTATCTGTTTTGCCAAGCTAGCCTTTACAGTAGAGCCATCGAAGATCCAGTTACCTTTCTATTTGGGTCTTCCCAAATGGACTTCTTGTTATCCAATTTTAATAGATTTACACAGCCACAAGGACTTATCTAGTGTTTGCACTGCCTGATATATCAGTTTGCATTCTTATGTGTAACTTCAACATTGCACAGATGCTCCATGACCTGCTAGTCATGCTGGTGTGGCTGCTATTACAGATATCCTAATCTAACTGTTAGTAACAGTTGTTATAATACGAATATTACATAGGTGATTATCCAAATTTTCGCTGTCGATAGAATTTGAACACCCAACCTACCACTTGGGAGGTTGACAACCTGACCACTTCACTAGGTTACTACACTCTTTATAATAACTATTTATTTAAATATATTATTAGATAATACATTAATTAAAATATTAATAACCTTTTTAAATTTTTTATTAACTACAAATATTTTACAAAAACAAAATAAATATAAATTCTAATTAATTGATTTACTTTAAAACAAAAAAATATGAATTTACATATTTGTTTAAGATATTCAATCTTTAATATTAAACCTTTTGATTGTATAAATTATAATTATGATACTAATTCAAATTATTATCTTAATGAAAAATTAAATTATTATAATAATCAATTTGTTGATTTTGTATTAAATTTTTTTTTAATAATATTAATAAAAATACTAATAATGATTTAGAAAATACAAATAATGATTTATTTATATTATTAAAAAATAAAATAACAAATGAATTAGATAAAGAAAAACTTGTTAAAGATGGGTATTATGATAAATTAATTAAAAAAAATCAAAATGAATTAAATAATATATATGATCCTATTCAAAAAATACAAAAAAACCAATTAAACCATTTAGAAAATTATGATTCTATACTTTTATTTATTGATGATGAATGTATATTAAAAACATTAGAAAATAAAAAATTTATTACTAATCAAATAAATGAAAAAGATTTTTCAAAAAATTTAATGCAATTATTGGAAAATAAAAAAATAAAAAAATAGTAGAATCAAAAAAGATAATAATTAATATTAAAAATTTAATTAATACTGAAAAAATATCCAATAACTTGAAAGATAATAAAAAAATATTTAATATTATAGAAAATAAAAAATGTATTAATGAAAAAACTAAATCAAGATTACAAAATTTAAAAAATACTAGATTAAAACATATTTTAAAATTTGAAAATATTAAGAATAATATTATGTTAATATCAAATAAATATGATTTTAATAATTATTTTAGAAAAAAAATAAAATCATAACTTCCAAATGATTTAAAAAATGATTTAAATAATTTACTTTTAGAAAAAAAAAATTCATAGATATTTATAATAAATTAAATAATATCAATAAATGAAATAAAAAATTAGTAAAAAAATTAAAAAATAATTATAAATCAGTTATAGATAAACTTATATTTGATAATGATAAAAAAATATTAAATAAATTAATAGATGGTAAATTAAAAAAAACTTTATTATTTTTAGAATATAAAAAAACTATTAATAATAAAAACAAAATTAAAAATCTAATAAGAAATAATAAAGATACACTTATCTATAATATCAAATATAATGCAAATATTAATCGATTACAAAAAAATATATTAATTAATGATATTATAGAAAAAAAAATCAATAATTCTATGAATGAATTATATAATGAATTATTAATACTTATAGACAAAAAAACATTTTTCTCTACACAAAAAACAAATATAGTACAT